TCAGTTTGGTTCGATTTAGATTATAAATCCTAAAAATGCTAATTCGAAATCGAACTGAACTGTAAACCGGTAAAAATCTAAACCGAACTGAAAATTTTGGATTAATCTGAAATTTTAGATTGTTTGGAACAATCCTTTTATCATTTTTTTGGAACGATAATTTAATCGTTCCAATTGAACAATTCTTTTATCATTCGATTGGAACAAATTTTTTATTGTTCATTTGGAATGATAATTTAATTATTCCAATCAAATGATTCTTTTATCGTTCGTTTAGAACGATAACTTCAATCGTTCCAATTGAACGATTCTTTTATCGTTCATTTAAAATGATAATTTAATCATTCCAATTGAACGATTATTTTATCATTTGTTTGAAACGATAACTTCAATCATTCTAATTGAATGATTCTTTTATCGTTTATTTAGAACAATAACTTTAATTATTCCAAATGAACAATTTTCTTATCGTTCGTTTAGAACGATAACTTCAATCATTTCAAATGAACGATTTTTTTATCATTCGTTTAGAATGATAATTTGATCGTTCCAATCAAACGATTTTCTTATCGTTCATTTGGAACGATAACTTCAATCGTTCCAAATGAACGATTTTCTTATTGTTCATTTGAAACGATTTTCTTATCATTCGTTTAGAATGATAATTTGATCGTTCTAATCGAATGATTTTCTTATCGTTCATTTGGAATGATAACTTCAATTATTCCAATCAAATGATTCTTTTATCGTTTGTTTGAAACGATAACTTCAATTATTCCAAATAAACGATAATTTTATCATTCCAAACGATTCGAAATTTTGGATTAATCTGAAATTTTCAGTTCAGTTTAGATTTTTTTCAGTTCAGATTAAATTTATAATCTGAAAAAAATTCGAACTGAACCAAAAATTTTCAGATTGAAATTTTTGCAATCTGAAACTGAACTGAAGTTGATCTGAACCGAAAATTTTCAGATTGAAATTTTTGCAATCTGAAACTGAACCGAAGTTGATCTGAACCGAAAATTTTCAGATTAATCTGAACTGTTCAGAGCTTTAATTTTAATTGCCTTCATATCATATAAGATACAAATACCTTTAAAGCTAATATCAAACTAAAAAAAGTATTGTGTTAGATTTCAGAAATAAAAAGAAGTTTTCATCATAAAAATAACACAATCATCAGTGTATATACGAAGTTATTATCTTTGTGTATCTATCACGCAGATGAAACTTCGTATAATACTAATAAAGCAACATAATAACTTATATCTTAACACATCTCTTGACATGGTAATAACCTTTTCACATAATAGGTTAGTAGAGTGAACTACAAAGCTACATAACAGATTATAGCATATATGTCCCTCTATTATATGTAAGTATTTACTGATAAGCGAGCTGAATGGATAGGTCAAACATAAGTAATAAACTAAAAAATAACTTGTTTATTCAGGTTTACTTTAGTAAACGATTATATAGTATTATTATATAATAATAAAGCTAAAATGTTTGCATAAATCTTAACTAACCTATAGTAGGATTCAGAAAATTATTAATTGACGAGAAGAATTTTTCATAAATGCATTATTAACAGATCTTATGACTCATTTTATAATTGATTTTAACTCTATTTGAAAAATCCAGCGGTTTTCTTTTATTTTAAGATAAGAATTCATAAATCTTATTATACATTACAGTAGACATATTTACGTAATTAATTTAGAATATAAAATAATATTAATATACTGAGATAACGCCAATAGCAAAATAAATGATAAAAAGTTAAAAATTACCTATACTGTCCTTTAAAATGCCACTATTTTCTCACATTTACACCTTTTTAAACTCACATCTATGTTAAGAAAGAGATAAAAGAAAATATGTAAGGTACTTTGCGCTAAAATTTTATGTTCATTAATAAAAATATGCAGAATATGCATTAAAGATCTTAATATTTACAAAAGACGTTGGAATAATGCATATACAGACTTTTTTTGCTTACCTGATTACTTAATAATTAATATAAGACCTAAGCAACGTTATATAAATATATTCTGTTCAGAATCAGAGAGCCTATCTCTTTGGAGCAAATATTCATATCAGTAAATGTTATTCTGCTAAATCTTATTTCACTAAATGTTGTAAGGAAAAAATTCAAAATATTTTAGAGATCAGTTTATATGTAAAATTATTTTGTCGCATAAATATAGTTTTACAGATGATTTGTGGACTATTATATATTACATTATATATATTTTAACGAGAATCAGAAATACATTTTATTTATATCACATATGCCTACATACATTGTGACTAAATAATATTTTATTAATATAATATTCGGGATCTGATCAAGAATTGAACTGAAAAATTTGACGTACTAATTCACTATTATTATCCAAATCTGAGAAATTTATGATAACATCCTTTTCGTAAATATGATATATGTATTTTAACAGTAAATCGCATATAGGTTTTATTTCTGATGATTTAATCCTTCTTGATTTATCGATCTGTGAGGTGAGAAAAAAAGATACAAAGATATTCACATTGAAGTTCTTGAATAAGAGGGCCAATATATATCTTTAACCAGCTTTGCTGATATAATAATTTCTTAACAAGTATCGCAAAAGATAATCATTACTATAATTGGATTCTCTTTTCATATATTCAACCATTTTTCGCTGAAAAGCAATATTCTTCATATCAAATTTGTCCTGAAAGATAATATCCTTCATTTTTTATACCTAAAAACTTTATATCATTAGGAGTACCATCATTCCTCACTGCCTTTCAAACTTATTTTGCCAAAGATTTGAATCTTTTCTTGTAATTCCTATAAGCTTACTAGATAACTGTCACATAGAAATTCTCAAACTGATAGTTATATTATTTTGCAATCAAGAATCTCTAAGATCGCTTCATTGATCTTCCTGAACTTCTCAAAAAATACTTTATTAAAATAGATTAAAAGATCTAACTCAGAATAAGCAGATCACATTTTTTATTCTACAGATAATACATTTCATCAAGCGATCATACATGTAGATTATATAATGCAAAAAATAAAAAATATTACATTACACCTTTAACTAAATGATATTAATCTTCGATTAAAAGCAATAGTTTATAATTAATATATTTCTCAAAGTCAGTCAGTTAAACAAACGTGATGTTTGTCCTATTTCTCAATCTTAATGTGAGCTGATTAAGATAGTTTATAGATGGTAATAAGTTATTTTGTTTTGCATACCAAGACGAGATAAATATTTTGCCTGTATCACTTTTGCAATTTGATGACTGATAAGAAGTTAGTGGAATCATTTCTTGGTTACTAGAGGTAATAGAAATACATGTTGGCTCAAAATTTGGAGTACTTGGCATAGTATTTTTTGTTACAGTTACTTTAGCTAAAAGGTAAGCTTTATAGCAAGTTAAACGACTATCATAATCATATGATACTAATGCCAATTTATTCTTTTCTGAGTGTGATGTAGATGGGGAGAAAACTCTAAACGAAGATGATTAATTTTAGCCTCTTCTTGTAATATGTATTATTTATATTGCCAGATATGAAATTTTCTTCTATAAATAGATTGGAGAATTTCATTTCTTTTTGCATATTCATTTGAAATAGTATTTCTGAAAATACATCTTTTCAAGTGGTTATCTTGATATGTATCAACTCTACAATCATTTTCAGGTATGAAAACTAAGGAGTTATATATACTATAATATATGTAATTTAATGGAAGACCATGAACTCTATCACTTCTTTCAATTATTTTTCCACACATTGTAATATATGCATTCCCAGAAAGAATTCTTGGGTTTTCTTCAAGTATTTTCCTAAATGGATCACAGATACGGGAGCATCACATTTCTGGTGTTTCATGATCATATCATTCACATAAAGGACATAATGCTTCTAATATTCTTCTATATTCTTTGAAGTTTACATCACTATAGCCTACAGAAACTAGCTTATATTGGGATCTACTATCTAAATCCATATTAGCGTTTTGCTAGATTATAACAGAATATAACGATTTTATTGATTTATACTGTTTTTAGCGATTTTAGCTGATTTAGCAATATTATACTCTAATAAATATCAGATTCATTTTTATTGGGTGAAAACAGATTCATATTTTTCAGTTCAGTATATGAGCCAAATATTAAAATTAGACCCGATCATCATGGTCGGCTAAACTATAAAATTAGTATCACATGTGATCTTCCTATCCCTACCAGTTCCCGGCACTATCAAGTATCTGGATCAAGGGATGATCGGCTAATTATTTCCCGATGATTTCATAAAAATAAGGGCTTTTTCTATCCCTTACACCTGCGCCTTCATTTTATTAATTTCATGGCGTAGTTGATTATTTACCTTAATTCGTTCTCAGTCAGATTTTGCATAAATCGGTCAAAGGTTTATTTATTATATTTAATCAATGCTTTTGCAGGATAATTCATAATTAACCCATTCATTTATTTTTGCTTCATGATCACATGCAATATTATCCGTTTGAGTGAAACGTAAGAAATAGGCAATGGGTATTCAGGCCAACTTTGGGGCGTAATTTTTTCTGATCCATAGTTAGATTTCGGGAATGTAAAATATTATATCTAATGCAAAAAAAATTTAATCACAGATTCAGAAAATAAATGCTTTCGCTGACTTGGATCAGATTTGTCAGCAATTGATTCTAGTAAAATAAGGTCCTAGAATGATGCAATAATCTGTGTTCCGCACTTGATCCTGCTCTAAGAGTCTTATTTTAACAAGATTGCGTAAAAAAATATGTGCGCATGATAGTTTGTCACGCAGATCAAACAAAAAAATTTATTATACGCGTTACACATCGCAGTTATGAATAATAGATTTTACAAATTTCTCTACGCAAATTACACGAATTACATTGGAAAAACAATATTTTATGTTATGATATTGTTACAGTTTCAAATAACAAATTTATTGCTAATTCAATATGTTAAGGAAAAAAAAATCGTTTTTTTAGTTTATTTTCCGTCTTTGAAGTGCGGGGTGTGGAGAACGTTTTAGGAGGTGGTGTGAAGCTTCTGGGCTTTTCTAGATTATTCTCGATGTCATCGTAATCATCATCGTCAGTATCATTGAACAAATCGTTTAATTTATCATTGCTGATCAAGTCTAAAGTCTTCACAATTATTACTTTAGCACGTAAAATTTCTTTGATAACGAAACCTAATGGCTGTATCTTTGTTAAACGACCATTAACTTCGTAAATTTTTCCACGTTTGATACGGCAAATATATCTCCTTGGTGCGTCTATTATAATCGTTTGCAATCGATTTCCCCCATTTAGTATTCAAATAACTTGCAATTGTCTAAAAATATTATGATTACACTCGGAAATAAGTTTTGTAATCATGTCTTATAGCATCTTATTCAACTTTAGACTATCCTTCAAATATTTCGTCCCATTTAATCCCTTCCATTTGCGACCAGCTTCTACAGCTCCAAGTTCTATGCGTTCTGTTGTGATTCTGAAAATTCCGTCCCCCTTTCTCCCTATTTTCTTGCGATCAGAAGTTATCTTACCGTCATTTTTTCTGTCACTCGAGGCGAAGCTCATACCCTTACCCCTTACTAACTCAAACTTCACATCAAAAAGCTGTATCAATTATTTTGCTCCATACGTTATGTTGGTACCAACCTTCCAGCTTTGATTGATCCGAAGTAAAACTATCCTCCATTTTCCACAAGAAAAGCATTCCTCTATATGCATAGTTTATAAAGTCGAGATTATAATGTAAATTTCTATTAAATTCCCCTTATGGTACGAATGGCTGTAGGAGAGATTTCCTCAAATCATTTACATTATCAAGGGTATATTTTTTAATTAATTCAAGTAGTGGAGCTTCAATCTCCAGCTTCTTTTGAACATCAGTTGAGAAAATCTCTTTCCATTCTTCCTTTAAAAATATTGTTTTAGCGTTTTTGTCGGTGTTGTTTAGGATGAATGAATGTAGACATGATTCTTTGTGTAATTTTCTTGCGTACTGATAAATTATTTCCTCAACTTTTTATCCAGATTTTAGCTCCCACATTTTTTCGGGATCCATCGCTATATAAGATTCATCGAATTCTGTAAAATCAAGCATTTCACATGAGTCTTCGGTTTCACTATAATCTGACTCTTCATCCACATCCGTAACATCCTATAATAATTAAAGTTATATTAGAATATATTTTTATCATCGAACTCACTTATTAACATTCTTACAATCGTTGTAATATGACCAATGTTTTGTGACACATTTCGACGTTTGCTTTTTTCCTCTTAGTCTTTCTCCATTGAACGTCTTTTCCTGTTATTCTATAAAATATGTGGTGAGCGATTGTGGAAAGACATAAATGAGAACTTGAGCATGGATCCCGAATAACATGAACTTACATCGTCATTTTCTAATTCATAATTGTCTAATATTTCCTCTCCATTTCTAGAATGATGTTGCGAGGACGTTGCCTCAATAGTCTGATCAGTGTAGGGTAAGCGAAACTGTTTTCCATAAAATTTACTCGATTCATCATACGTATAAAGGGTTTCCATATCATAATTATTTTGAATTTTACGCTAATATTAATTATAAAATATTTCATTCAGGAAAAAAATGTATTAATAAAATTAAAAATTGACACTGATATATATATTTTTTGCATTACCTGTAGTCTTTCAATGATCACTTCTTGCCAAAAGGAACACAAGTTGGACTTAGTATGCTCCAGGATCACCTTGTTAAATAGAGTAGATAATTAGGATATATATTTCATTGTTTCACCACCCAAACAAACCAAACTATGACAAAACAGAGCGGTTCGCAATGGTGGGACCAGAAAACTTCTGATACTCTAAGCGCAGGTAACACCTGTCAAAGAGTTGTCTCACATCATCACTTGGATCAGAAAACTTCTGATACTCCAAGCGCAGGTAACACCTGTCAAGGAGACTCCTTTCATCGAACTAAAAGGAAAAATTACCTTCCTTTTCATATCGTCAGCTGACTCTGGGCTAATTTCTTTTACAGCTAGTAGGAATTGTTTGGTCCACGCGCCATCAAGGCCTTCCTGCTTGTCTAAATGCAGTAGTAAATTTACGATAGTGGTACGGTTAAGTTAAGAAATCTATGTACGACCAAGTAATAATCTACAAGGACTAAAAACGAAGTGATTAATAGCTAAAGTTCGTTTCTAGTCTAGTAGTCTTTATTACTATGCTTGCCTGTTCAGCCAGGATACATTTCATACATTTCAAAATTTGGAAAAAAGACAACGATTATGAAGCCAACTTAAATTATGTAATATAATCACGTAATATCAATATCTGTAACGTGACCAGCATTTCAAGGTCACACCCTTCGTGTTTGGGCATCCTTAACCTACACCAGATGTGTAAATGTTTAACCTGTACTGGGGGTGTACAATAAGTTTTAACAAATTTTTATTGGATGAAAATTGATTGTGTAATATTACTATAAATCATGATTTTATAGCACAAGTTCAAAATTTTGCAAATTTTTATAATTTTCAAATACGAAAAGATAAAGTAGAACATGATAAAAATAATAATATTAAAAAAAGAACTATATTATGTTCACGCGCAAGTGTTGCTGAATAAAAAAAAAGAAAAAAATCATCAAAGAGATCATCATTCTCAAAGATGTAATTGTCCTTTTATGATTAGAGCATTATTTAATTTACAAACTGATCTTTGGCATATTTTGGCTATAAATTTGAAATATAATCATGAAATGATGATTCCTGAGTATAAAAAATTTTTAAATAATCAAAGAATAATTCCACAAGAAATTAAAGATCAAATTAAAATTTATCATCAAGCAGGTTGTAATGTATCATCTATCAAATCTATTCTTAAACAAGAATATCAAAAATTGGAAATATGGATTTATAATGATATTTATAACTATATATATCAATTAGATAATAAATTACATAGTCGTTTTTTTGAAGCAGATGAATTTATTAATATTTTAAAGCAATTCAAAAGAGAAATTAATGGATTTAAATATGAAATCAAAGTTGATGAAAGTTCAAATGAATTACTTCAAGTAATTTGGATGCATCCAGAACAGAAACAACAATATTGTAGATTTTTAAATGTAATTGTTTTTGATAATATATACAAAGTTAATCGATTTAATATGCCATTTAGAATTTTTATAAAAGTAAACAATTTTGGTCAAAGTATATATTTACTGGAACTTTAATGTGTCAAGAAACAATTAATAGTTTTATATAGACATTTAAATCATTTCTTAAAATGGTTAATAAAAATCCACTAAAAGTAATACTTATAGATAAAGATAAAGCAATTTTTCAAACTATACAAAATGTTTTTGGTCAAAATAGTAAACATGTATTATGTATATGGCATCTTTGGAAAAATGTAATCAAAAATTTATGTAGTATATTAAGAGCAAATTGGCATAATTTTACAAAAGCATTTTATGAATGTATAAAAGAATATGAAGTTGATAATTTTATAATTAAATGACAACAACTTCAAATAGATGTTTTAGATTGTAAAGCACATTTAGAAATAAAGGATAAAGTAAAAGAAAAATGAGCGTTTTGTTTTAATAGAGATATATTTTTAGCAGATATAACAAGTACACAGTACAGAATCAATAAATAGTCTTATAAAAAATTATATAAATGCAACCAATTCACTTTTGGATTTTTTAAAAGCTTTTGAATCTACACTAGAATAACATGATATTTACAATTATTTAAATATTGGTAAAATCAATTTAATGTTATTTTAAAAACAATGAGTTCATTTAAATATCAAGCAGCAAAAATATTAATAAGTTATACATTAAAGTTAACATAAGAGCACTTATTATAAGCATTTAATTATTCTTATATAGAATTGTTTGATTTAAGGTATTTTAATTATAATGTATTTTTATTTTATAAAATTTATTTAATTTAATTTAATTTATTTTTAATTATTTAGAACTCAAAATATTCAATTATTTCATATTCATCAATTTAATAATAATTACGAATCTGGAAGAAAAGTACAATACAATCAATAACAACAATTCTTTTTGTGTTTATGCAAATATATAACTTTTTCTGAAATTGTATGTCAGCATATATTTTGTGTAGCAATACAAAAGAATTTAAATAAATTACCAAATTCATTATTTTATCAATGCTGATAAAAAATCCAAATAATCTTGTTTTAACACAACAATTTAATTTATTTTGTGGTAATAATATAACAAAACATTTGGTTTCTCAAAAATATAAATTTTTGAAGACTATAAATATTTATTGACAAAAACTTTTTATGAAATAAAAAGTTTGATAAAAAAGTATCCAGAATTATCCAAAAAATTTTATTTTACAAATAATATTTTGTTGGAAAATAAATTAAAAATTATTCATCAAACTTGTCAAACAAAAGATAATACTTTACAAAATATAATCAATAATCCTAAAAAAAATAATAATTTTAAAAAAAGGTATTTATAATTGATATTTTTTAGTTTATTGATATTATAATATTTTATTATTTTATTAATTTTAAAAAATTTTAATTAAGGAAAAAAAAAATTCAACAAAAAATTTATCAAATAAAAAGCAAAAAAATTTAATTGCTAGTAGTAGTGGTAGTGGTAGTGGTTTATCAATACAAGAAAAAGAAAATATTACAAATTATTAAAAGGATGATCTACATTTAATATGCTGAGTCTAACATATGAAGTATTTCAAATTTATCACAAATATTCATAACTGAATTAATGAATATGAAAATAGATGACATAAATGCTAAAAATAAAAAAAATGTATGTTTATTTTATAAAATTTATGAATTTTAAATATAATGATATTAATCATTCTTTTTTTAATACTTTTAGATGAATTTACATGTCTTTTTTGTAATCAACCTTTACCTAATACTTTGCTAAAAAAATTACTTGAATATTTAAAAATATTGTAAAAAAAAGTAAATTTTATATTTAATTTATTTTTATAATAATAATATTGATTATATTAAAATATTTTGATTTCTTTAGAAAAAATATTAGAAGTCAATTGTGTAGAGTTTTGTTTTATGCATTATGCAGAAATAAAAATTATTCCATTAGGTATAGAGATGGGTTATCTAACAAATATTAATTTTGAAATTTTATCAAATCGGATTAGTAATATTAAGATGATTTGTTAGATATTATTAATTGTAAATTAGCAAGTTAGTTTTGCAATTTTTCATTATCTGTTTATAATGAAATTGGATTTTAAAAAGCAAATACACTAATAATGATAATGAAAAGAAGTAAAAAATTAAGAGTAAGATTTAATTTATAAATATATTTTTTTATAATATATTTTAATATATTTGTTTATTAAATTTAGATTTATTTTTTATTTTTATAGCCAGGATATTATGTTCTAAAGGTAAAATAATTATCACAGAAGTTTTGACAAATTTGTTTTTAAAAACAAATATTTTAACATTTAAAATAAGCAAACTTTTAATATCAATTGATTATTTATATAAAGTATTAGTTTCAGAAGTAATTATTAGACTAATAGTTCAAGATTTTAATGAAAATTTATCATTAGAAGAAGCAAGAGAAATTATAAAAAACAGTGCAGATTTTGGCGCATATGTATATAATGATTAAATAATTATTATACTGTAATAAAAAAAAAGTTCTAATTTTTGAATTTTTATATGAAATTTAAGTTTTATATTCTCATCATAGCAGTTATATAAATATAATATTAATTTATTTACAAAGATAATATAAATTATATAATATCACACAATCAATTTTCATCTAATAAAATTTGTTAAAACTTATTATATACATTCAGCGCAGGTTAAATATCTACACCTCTAGTATAGATTAAGGATATCCAAAAAAATTACTATTATATAATATAAAGTTAGTCATATGGTCATATGAAAAAAAACTTTTTTTATTAGTGAAAAAATTTACCATAAGGATATATGTAAAAAGAAACTTAGTAAGAATTAAAAAAGAGCTATTATCATAGCTAAAAAATTAGAATACACAAATACTAGAATTTCTGCAGTCGTAAATTGATTTTGTTCCTTTATTCAACATGTTTAGGAGTTGTATGAGCTAAAAAACCTTCTAAAGAAACATTTGAATCAACCACAAATTCTTAACGAAACTGAATGCAAATATTTTAAAAGTTTGGTAGTTAGAAATAAAAAAACTCGTCGTCAAACCTTTTCTCAAATACATTTAAATTTTATAAATGAAACAAACAAACCCATTTCCATACAAACCATTCAAAATTAATTAGTCAAAGAAAATCTTCATTCCTGAATTTCTCATTTCAGTTCTTTAATTTCTGAAAGTAATAATAAAAATGTTATTTGTGAATCTATACTTACAAAAATTAGATAGTAGAAGATTTAAAATAAGTTGTTCAATCAGATAAGAGTATCTATATACAATTTAAAACTTCAGGTTTTAGATGAGTATAATGCGAACCTTCTGAAAAGTTTTATGAAAACTGTATTGCAATCACAGTCTAAAAGAACTATAGTCGTATATTCTAGGGGTATTTCTCCTGAGTTAGCTTTGGGTTCTTTAGTCCCTTTAGAAGGTTACGTTATTGGAATTATACATTATGACATTTTGGCTAATTATGCCATTCCTACAGTTAAGTTTTATACAAAAAAAAGTCAAAAAAGGTTTTTTTTCAAGAAGACAATATACCTGTATACACTGCAAGAGTTGCATATTTATTTCTCACTTTCTTAAATATTGAGATACTTCTCTGGCCAGCCCAAAATCTTGATATCAACCTAATAGAAAATATATGATCATATATTGAGGTCAAGATCTGTCAATGAAATTCTTAGCTATCAAGTGTTAGGCAGTTAGAATAATGAGCTAAAGAGGAGTAGGATGCAGTACCTATAGAATATTACTATAATTTGATCAAGTCAATACCATGTCAAGTTTAAACTATTTTTGCGACTAATGGAGGATTAACAAAATATTAACCTGTATTTAATAAAAATAAAAAAAAATAAAGAATTATTAAGTTAGTTATTTCGTAAAATATTTTACAAAAGTGATCAATACTTTTTATACTCTCCTGTATATGAAGCTTCTATTAAAATCATAGATATTTTGGTGGACATTGTAATTCTTACTATATATTATTATCAATCTAGAAATCTTAAAGCCAAGAAAAGTTTTCTATATTTGCTATTATTATTAATTTATAT